ATCATAATCTGATCTTTTTTTTCAGTCTCTGTCCTGTTGTCGTCTGTAGCCTCAGCTCTACTGATCTAAGCATGAGTCGTCCACAGTATTGAGTTTTGTGCTTTTACCTTAGTCTTCTTTCTTCCCCAAGTCTCCAGGCATTGTTCCATCTCTCCAAGTGGCAGAGGCCTTCTCCTGGGGTCTTTACACTTCCTTTTTTCCATGAAGCCAGTACTCACCACTCACTTTCCTTGCCTTAAACAGGCATTGGATTCTGTCAACACAGCACTCAAAGAAGCCCAAGGAAAAACTAATAAAGACAATTGGTTCCAAGGAAAAACCAATAAAGACTGATGATATCCTGGGCTAGCTCTCTGGTTGTCTTCTTCTCCCATTGTCTGAGCTAGCCTATTTCACAGATCTGAGAAATAGAAGCCAACTTGAAGAAAAGCAATGCAAATAATACTTATTACTGAATTCTGTTGAGGGAGGAGAAGGTAGTTCAATGGTAGTTCAGCTGCTTTAGAAAAGGCTAACTTTGCATCTGTGAAGCAAAATTCATTTCAGCACTTCTGATGCAGGTCTGTGGAATCTCCTCTGAAGTAGCTGTGAACCTTTCTGGTTCCTTCGTTAATCAGTAAGTTGAATAAAGTCATTGACAAGTGTTCATTGGGTATTTGTTGAGTCATGATTTGACTGTCCTTAAAAAATTACTCTTTAGAAGTACAAGTTGTCATGTCGAAAACGAACTTTACAACTTTGGTGGGGAGGGGGAGGATTGGGGGGGTGGGAGGAGGCTGGGAAGGGATGGGAAGGGGAAACAAAGGAGGAGGCTACAATGCTTGATAAGAAATGTACTCATTGCCGGGCGCTGGTGGCTCACACCTGTAATCCTAGCTACTCAGGAAGCTGAGATCTGAGGATCGCGGTTCAAAGCCAGCCCGGGTTCAAAGCCAGCCCGGGCAGGAGAGACCGTGAGACTCCTATCTCCAATAAACCACCAGAAAACCGGAAGTGGCGCTGTAGCTCAAGTGGTAGAGCACTCGCTTTGAGCTGAAGAGCTGAGGGACAGCACCCAGGCCCAGAGTTCAAGCCCCACGACTGACAAAAAAAAAAAAGAAATGTACTCATTATCTTGCCCATGTAATTGTAACCCCTCTGTACAGTGTTTTCACAATAAAAAAAAAATTACTCTTTAGGGCCAGACATGGTGGTTCATGCCTATAATCTCAACAACTCAGGAGGCAGAGATTAGTAGGATACTAGTTTGAGACCAGCCATAAGGAAAAAAAAGCTATCCAGAATCCAGTCTCAACAAACAAGCTAGGCACGGGAACACACACCTGTAATACTGATAGCACAGGAGACATACATAGAAAGATCATAGTCCAGGCTGGTCTGGGAAAAAAAAAAACGTTGAGATCCTATCTGAAAAATAACTATAACAGAAAAGTTGGGGTTAGGGGTGGGGGAGTAATGGTTCAAGAAGGAGAGTATTTACTTAGCATGAGTTCAAATCCCAGTACCATCAAAACAAAAACATTCTCTAGTAGTAACCTGGCACTGGAGTCTAGCACAAGGTAGGCAAGGTACCCAATGAAAATGTTATTAATTAGGTAGATGAATTTAAACAAGTAGTCTTTGCCATGATTAGTATCAAGTACTGAGGTCTGGACTAGTGTGATAATTAGTGACCACTCCAGAGTTGAAATTCAAATGAAAAAAAAAGTCCCCCAATCATTTAGGAAATGTCAGCAAGAATAGCTGCAGGGATGTGAGTAGTCCTGTATTTGCAGGGTGGCCTAACTGGCCACACCCCAGGGCTGTCTGTATGGAATCCAGGAAAATGAAAGCCATGTGACACATAACATCATGTAAACATTAATGTTTACAGATCCAAGGACTGTTTGCAGGTAAACTCCTGGATCAGGTCTTTTCAAACCTGTTCATGAATTGTATCAGCATTTTTATTGGGTATCTACAATTAAGTTGTGTGAAAGATAAAAACAAACCTATGAGTCAGTTTCCACATCTGTGAGTGTTTTGAGGATGACATCAGCAGGGTTTTGAAGAATGAAACCACCAATTTCCTGCAGATTGTCTGGATTCAAAAAGATCCTTGATCATTTTCAACTAAACAGAAAAAAACCTCCCAAGGATATTACCCACATAATGTGCATGAAATTGAAGGGACATTTAAAGACAGGTCTCCACTCTCAATTTTTCTCCTATCTCTATGTAAAAAAAAAAAAAAAAAAGATTGTTGAGATAGAAAGAAAGCTTTGTTATCTATTTTATTGTTCTCAAAAATGAATATAGCACTTTTGAGAATGCTGTTACTCACACATCACATATTATGTTGATCAATGGCAGACTGTCTATACAATTGTGTGGCCATAAGATTTTATCACCTAGTAATTTCACAGCCATCTCACTTTGTATAAGTACACTTTTGCATTCATATAAAGAACAAAATGATCTAATAATTGTATTTCTCTGAGTGTATCTTTAAGCAATGAATGACTGTATGTTCACCTGCTTCCAGACATTATATCATTAGCTACTATTTGCTGATAACTTTTTTTTCTTTTGGTGGTACTGAGTTTTGAACTCAGGGGGTCTTAGGCTTGCTAGGCTGGTGCTCTACTGCATTCCAGCTGTTTTTCACTGGTTGTTTTTAAGGCAGGGTCTCACTTCAGGTCCAGGCATGCACCTAAGCCTTTCATCACCATCATGGGATCACAATTATGCACTACTACATCTACCTCCCAGGCTTTTCTGTCCAAGCTAGCCTCAAATCACAATCCACTCATTCTCAGCCTCCAGGTAGCTAGGATCATCAATATGAGGCACCAGTACCCAGATTTATCTTCTATTTTTCTACAGGCACAGAAATAGAAGCTCAGAGAAATTAAATAACTTACTTAAGGTGATACCACTAATATATGGCAACATCAAGATCCATATTCAGGGCCAACTTTAAAGGTCATGCTTTTTCTACTATGCCAGTATGTCCCAGAACAGAACTGAAAATCATAGAAATATTAACATTGGTTGGCAGAAGAAGTAGAGGGTGGTGGGGAGAACGAATGAGTAGGTTATAAAATAGCTAGGTAGAAAATAGGGCTGGGAGTAGGTTGAAAGGAGGTAGGCACTCACCCTTGGAAGTAAGAGTAACAAGAGGGAAGTCAATCCATTAATTCAGTGCCCAGCTAAGCTACATCAAGAAAGCATCAGATGAAACCAGTAAGGATATTCTCAAGGTAAATAACACAGACCTCCATTTTAACCCATTCTCAAATAAGTGGTAAGCAACACATAGAATCACATAGGCTTAGGGGATTAAAAAAAAAAGTCTTTTGAATATATATGAAAAGGTAAGATTCCAGTAATGACTAGGAGACTTAATTTCCATAATTAGCACACATAGGTAACAGACACTGCTCAAGGACAAAATAACAGGGTCACTAAATCTGATTGGGAAAGGCTGGCCAAGTTCAGCCAAGTGTGAAACCAGCATTTGTACTGGTAGTGTTTATTAACTACCCTGTGCCAGTCACTAAGTGTTCTTATGTACATCAAAGCTTTTCGTTCTGGCTACAACTCTATATAAACTACATTTTGGTAATTAAGTAACATACTCAAGATCATAAAAACTGAACCCAGAAGCACTTTCTGGATTCAAAGTTTGTGCTATCAGCCAGTAGACTGCATTCTGAACTCTGAACTTACACCAGAGAGAACAAGTTTTGACTGATTGTGCTATACCGTGCACCTACTTCACCAACCACCGTGAGAACCGGGGTGTCAAAATTATGGTAGCAGAAAATCCTGTTCTGGGGGGGTGTGAAAAATAAAAGGTACCTAATGGTGTCAGAAATTGGACCTGGAAGGCTTGCATCTTCAGGACTAGCAGCTGGCTTCTGTCCCAAAAGTATATGGTTTTCCTCGGAATGAATGGCCTTAGATATAGGTAGGGCTGGATGAAACTGTTGAAGTGTATCTTGATTGCTTTGCTTCTTCTGACGCAAAGGCTCATTCTGGAATGGGGAACCCGCATCCTCTCTACAATTACTGCGCTAATTACGGAGATTGTGGGTAGAAGTCTGATCTAGAGGAAACCAGATGATTCCTGTTAAAAACAATCATTTGCAAGATTAATTAGACACAATACACGAAAGCTATTTGGTTTATCTGATGGCTTGGGGGGGGGGGAGAGTTTGCCAGGGAGGAACCCAGGGCCTTGGGCATGCTAAACCTCCACTCGATCCCAGAGTTTTGCCGCTATACCCTCAGCCCAACAGCTTAGTTTTCAAAATAGGTTTGTGTGTGTGTGCGCACGCGCGCGCCAGAACTGGGACTTGAACTCGGGGCCTGGGCCTGGGTGATGGATGTCCTTAGCTTTTTCCACTCAAGGCTCTACCACTGCGCCACGACTCCACTTCCTGACTTGCGTCCCGGTTAACCGGATCTTGGCGTCTTACAGACTTTGCTGCTTGGGATGGCTTCACCCCGGGAGGCCTGGGCACGGGCTGCCGGCTCTAACCGAGGATCTTCGTTTTTAAATCCAGGCAGAGCTCTCGCGGCTCCTAGGTGAGGATCTGACCCTGCGGCTCTCCTACTTCCCTTTGGCACCGCCGAACACACCCAGGCCTACCACGAGGAAGCGCCCGGGAGCCAGTGCGCGGGAGGCGGGGGGGGGGGCGGCCCGGGAGCCCAGAGTGAGGCCAGCCTCCTCCCACGACCCCGGGAAGCCCTGACGCCCCACCCGGGCGTCGTTGCTCCACCGCTTCCTCCAGCAGAGGAACCACCCGTCTCTTCCTGCCTCACGGGGTTTGAAGCGCGCGCCACGCCGGGCGGAGGTGGCGGTGGGGAGTTAGGCCGAAGACACCGCTGCACGCATGCGCGCGCGGAGGCCCCACCTCCGGGCCTCGCCCCCGACATCCCTCTCCGTAGGCCCGCCCCCTCCTCGGCCACACCCCCAGGCCCCGCCCCTCGGCGCGGCGGGGCCGGCCGCTGCTCGGGTAAACCTGTCTCACCGGCGGGGAGCTTCCTCCTGGGAGGGCCGCCGAGTTTTCCTTCCGCCCCTGCAGCTCGGAGCTCCGCGAGGGGCGAGCGGAAGGTGCGCGGGAGCCCGGGCCCGCGGGAGTCGGGGTCATCGGCGCGAGCCATGTCTCTGTGGGGGGAGCCGCCGCAGGCCTCGTCGCCCCCGGCTTCACAGCCGCCCCTGGCCGGCGTCTCGGCGCCGCCTCCCGCCTGGCCGGCGAGTACGACCCTCAACCGTCTGCGGGAGCCCCTGCTGCGGAGGCTCAGCGAGAGCCTGGACCGGGCACCCGAGGGCCGGGGCTGGAGGCGACTGGCCGAGCTGGCGGGCAATCGGGGGCGACTCCGGCTCAGGTGAGCCCGGCCCGGGCGCGGGCTCGACGGGGCGGGCGCGCGGGACTGATGGGGCGGCGGGCGGGACGGTGGGGGGGGGCGTGGGACTGGACGCGGGACCCGGGGGCCACTGGAAGAAGGGGAGGGACCGTGCCAGGAAGACTCCGAACCCAGACCCGGGAAGGCAGGGGGTGCCAGCTGGGACCCTGCGATTGGGGAGGCAGAGGCTGGAACGGTCCACACACCCTCCATCCCTGGCGCGAGGATGACCTGGGAGCGCAGCAGTAATTTCGGGAGATTAAAAATGCCAGCCCTGGACGTGGACCCAAGCCAGGCCCTCCCAGGGAGCCCATGAAGAGGAGGGACGGGAAGGGGAGGATGGATGGGCCCCCTGCAGAGATTTAGGATGCAGTTTGAGCTGAGAGAAGGAAAGAGGGAAAGACTGACTCTGAACTCGCTGTTCTCCATCAGAGCAAGTCACCAAGCTCTCTCCTTCACTTTCCAACGAACAGTAAACTCTTAACACTTTTCCATATGAGAGAAGAACGGGAAGGTTAGGCACAGCTGTTAGCCATTCTTGCAATCTGGGGTCTTAATACTTCTTCACACTCTTAAGAATTATTGAAGGGCTGGGATGTCGCTCAGTGGCAGAGCACTTGGAGCACTTGCCTAGCAAGTGCAACGTCCCAATACCAAAAAAGAAAAAACAAACAAAATACGGTTTAAAAAAATTACTGAACATGACAGAACTTTGTGTGGGTGATATTATACACATAATGTGTACTGATACTATTTGAATTAAAACTAAGAATTTATAAAATAGTAATTGATCTTAAAAGAACCATTCTAACACAGTAACAGAATGATATTTTTGCAGGAAAAGAAAAACAAAACTAATGCTTTGCAGAAATAATTAGGAAAGTGTCACTAGCTTACAATTTGAAAAGCTCTTTTTGTTGTTGTTTGTTCTGTTGAGACAGAGCCCTACTCTGTAGGTTAGTCAGGCTGGGCTGCAAGTCCTGACCACTTGTTTCTCCTTTCTTGGGGTTGCAGACATGTGCCACCACACCTAACTTGAAAGTCTTACGTTTTGGCTTAATTGAAGAGTTGGATTCTTTTTATATGTATCTCTATTCCATCTGGTGTAGTCTTACAGGTCACAAATTTCCACTAATTACACCTCTGAGAGAATGGATTAAAAAGTAGGAAAGTTTTTTTAAAAAATAAAGTAAGAAGGAAAGTAAATAGGCAAAAAACCTTTAACCTTGTAGTTAAGCCCTTCTAAGTGTCCTACAAGAACTACTACTTCATAGCATTGTTGTGATTTCAGCCTGCTTTTGAACTACAGAGCATGTTTTCAACTTCTCAAATGACTCAGCTTTGTCTTTTTATTATAATTAGTTGTATACATGTGTATATATATTCCTTAAGAGCAGGTGCCATTTCTTATTTTGTGCATAGAACTCAGTACTTGTTGAATTGACATTGGAATTATTCATCTGGAACTTCTTGCTATTTAGAAGTTCCAGAAGACTAAAACTTTAATATGTCCACTCCTCTTCATAAGGGCTTCTGGGAATGGACTGGTACTTAGGTACATTGACAACAAAATTAAGTGGCATGCTGTACAGGAATCATAATAATAGAGCTGTAGCATACACTGAGCACATAATATAAGACAATGTATTGCTTATTGGAACCCTCCCAACTGTCCTGCGTTTGAGGTTAAAGCGAAGAGTAATGATTTGAACTTATTGCTCATATAGAGGCTCAGGTGTCTCCCTAGCACTTGGAGACAAAGGCAGGAGGATTTTAGGGCCAGCCTGAATAGTGACATACTGTCAATAAATAAATAAATAAGCAAGTAGTGTTGGGTTTAGTGGCTCTTTCCTGTAATCCCAGTTACTTGGAAAACAGTGATTGGGAGGATTGAGGTTGTTGAATGCCTGAGGTCTCAAGTTATTGAGACCTCATATCAGTAAGTTGGCTGACTACAAGCAACTCTCAGTTAAGCAGGAGGTTGAACGTAGAAGAATCTTGGTCTGAAGCAACTCCGGGGGAAAAAAGAAAAGGCGAGAGAAAGATCCTATCTGAAAAAATCACTATGCTTTGCAAAAAAGAGGGCTGGGGTGTGACTCAAGTGGTAGACCATTTGTCTAGCAGTCTGAATTCAAAACTTTGTACTACCAGGAAAGGAAAAAAAAAGTAGTAAGCCAGGTACTGATGGCTCACACCTGTAATCTTAGCTACTCAGGAGGCTGAGATCAGAGGATTGCAGTTCAAAGTCCACAGGGCTGGAAAGTCCGTGCAACTCTTATCTCCAGGTAACCAGAAAAATCTGGAAATGGAGCAGTAGGTCAAGTGATAGAGCACTAGCCTTGAGCACAAAAGCTCAGAGACTGAACCAGGGCCCAGAGTTCAAGCTCCAGGACCAGAACACACACACACACACATGATAAACTAGTGAAGTCATTCAAGCAGACAGAGTACAAAATAAATACTAGGGAAATATATTTAGGGTTTTAAGTATGTAAAGAAAGGAAGGTTCTGAGCTTTCTGGGGAAAAGCCAGTAGTAAGCAGTACTGCTTGGTGATAAAGTTATGTCTGTAAGGCTCTGCCAGGAAGAAGCATAGCTATTGGACTCCAAAAGGAATATATGTTTCCTCCCCGACTTTCAGTTAAGTTCAGCTAAATGGGCTGCAAAATGATGGTGCCTTTGATCAGGGAACCCAGGGAAAGTTTTGAAGCCACTTCTCTGTGGAGGACAACTGCCTGTCCCCATGTGGCGGACACCAAAATCCATGCCTCTGGAATCTGAGCACTCAGGGAGGTCTTACAAGAGTTTCACCACTCTGCCAGGATGTAGTTAGTTTCACATTGGGAATAGTATCAAGCTCATACCTAATGAGATCAGAAGAATTAAATAATCTGAGAATCTTTTGACCACCAAAGTAGAAGGAGTCAACTAGACTCTAAAAACAGAACTCTTTACAAAATGATTTCATACTGATAGCAGAATGACATCTGTGACTGTGAAAGACTATAAAAGTGGTTTTCTCTCATCAGATATAGGAATTGAAGCTTAAGAGTCTAGTCCAAGTGGATAACAGATTCTGGGGGGTGTAAAGTCCTTTCGTCTACCTACTGGATAGTAGTATTCAAGTTCATGGTCCCAATTCTGCAGAATTTTGTCTCTTCAGTTTCTTTTTGTTCTCATTACTTTTCCCCCCTTACTCTTTATATATTTCCTCAGACTAGGTAAGAGCTGTCCGAACTGTCCACTGGGGATACATTTTTCAGATGGTTATTGATGATTCAGAATGAATCCTTTCATGTGGTTAGTTTGTTAGAACCACTACCAATAGGTACAACTCCAGTCTAGATTCATTGTAAACTATCGGACACCACTGCTGTCAGTTTAGATAAGCACAGATTTTCTGTGTCTTGCCCAATCTGTGTAATTTCTGCCATGTCTGGATCATCGAAGCTCCAAGGATGTTAGAGCTTTCTGGGTTAGCTACCTGCCTGAGTTCTCTAAGCAAGGTGCTTAGAAGTGGAATTGTGGAATATGAACAACAACAAAAAAAAAAAAACAATAATTTCATGTCTGCTGTATAGGAGGTGCTGTTTTTAGCTGGAGAATCCTGTCCTCTAGCAGCTGAAAGTAGGAATGAGAATACATGCTAAAAATCTCAAAGGGTGAACAAATGAAGCAGTGGTACTCACTATATACTATGTTGAAAATGAACTATACATCTTGTAGATGGGGACAGGATGGAGACACAGGCAGAGAGTGAGGGAAAAAGAAATGTACTCATTACCTGACTTACATAACTGTAACCTCGCTCCACATCACCTTTTTTCTTAAAAATTCTGTAACAGAACATTCTGTCCTTATCTCCATCTCCTCTGTCTCTGAGCTTTGGAGTGCTTAGGCTTTGGTATCTCTTGATCTCTTGTGTTTTGCTTCAGTCTCCTGGCTTTACAGACACTTAGGTTCGATACTCCCCGTATTTCTTCTTGAACTCCAGAGTACAGGTAGATGTTTGTGTGTCAGCTCCTCTTGATTATAATATTTGTAGTTGCCCTCTGTATCTGTTTGGACATTACCTGCCCTGTGCTTTCTGTTAGTTTTCTCCAAAACACTTGGACAGGTGTGTGATATTCATCTCTCCTCTAAAATGAAAAATTCAGGAGACTTTTGCCTACTCCTGGATCCTTAAATACATGTTAGGAAAAATCCATACTTTAGATGATTAATAAATGGATTAAATTAATGAGTAAAGATTACAAAGAGTACGCTCTAGAGGAGAAACAAAACCTAGAAGTCCTGTGGTTTGTGCCCAAAAGGCATAGAATATGTTCCATTTGATTATGTATTTCTAAAAGTACAAATAAAAATACATTTTTAAAAGCAGAATCCTTTTACTTCAGTAATAAAGTGGGTTTTTTTTTTTTGGGGGGTCTGGTCATGGGGCCTGAACTCTGGGCCTGGGCGCTGTCCCTAAGCTCTTCAGCTTAAGGCTAGTGCTCTACCACTTGAGCCACAGCGCCACTTCCGGCTTTTTTCTTTTTGCTTATGTGGTGCTGAGGAATCGAACCCAGGACCTCGAGCATGCAAGGCAAGCGCTCTACCACTGAGCCACCTTCCCAGCCCATAAAGTGGGTTTTTTAAAATTCCAAATTAGAATTTACAGGAGCCTCTTCAAAGAATAGTCTTACAGGAATGTAGCCTAAAAAAGGATAGATAAAAGCTGAGTATGTATGTACATCACCTTAGCTGAAAGGCTGTGCCTTGTAGAAAATTAGTAAGATGAGAGGGAGATGCGGTACCTTGCTCTCCTGTATGCCTCTTGAGTTGGGAAAAAAAAATAATCTATTTAATTTGATCTTCAGTTAAAAGAACAGTAAAACTGGTTTTTCATTTCTCTGCATCAAGCAAAACATCAGTTATCACTTGGTTGCATTTGATGAGATGGCTTAATTTCATGTATCAAATCCTGGTAAACTTCTGAATTATAAAGTATATTCCAAATATAGCACTTTTTATTTGTAAATTTCATTTGCTAATTACTTGAAAATTTGAAATATTAAAATTACTTCTGATATGTGATTTTGAACTTGAGCATTTTTTTTCAGTTGCTAAATTTGTAAGGTTGACTTTTTTCTAGTGTCTTTTTTTTTTTTTAATTTTTTTTTTTTTTTCGGTCGTGGGGCTTGAACTCTGGGCCTGGGCGCTGTCCCTCAGCTCTTCAGCTCAAGGCAAGCGCTCTACCACTTGAGCTACAGCGCCACTTCCGTGTCTTTTTTTTTTTTTCTTTGTATTGGTCCATGGGCTTGAGCTTGGAACCTGGGCCCTGAGCTTATTTGCTCAATGCCAGCACTTTGCCACTTAAGCCACAGCTCCATTTCCAGCTTTTTTTTGGTAGCTAACTGGAGACCAGAGTCTCATGGACTGTCCTACTCGGGCTAGCTTCAAACCACCATCCTCAGCTTCCTGAATAGCTAGGATTACAGGCATGAGCCATCGGTGCCAGCTTCTACCATCACTTTTGAGAAATTCGCTTTTTCCCCTCCACTCAGAGAACTGGCACGCACACGTTTGTGTGTGTGTGTGTGTTCCTGTGTCATGATTTAAGATATTTTGACTCTCAATGAATTGCATGATATTATATTCCTTTTAGAGACAACAGAATCTAGCATTCTAGCACCTTCATTTTTGGTCATCTTTTCTTCCTCTTCAAGAGTAAAGAAATGTTTCTGTCTTTCTCTTCTTTATTTTCAAACTGAAAGCCAAAGTCTTGATCAGTACCAAGAGTGAATTTCTCTCACATCCTGTTTCAAGGTGTTGCTTCCATTGGGAGCTGAATGGGAGAAGTGAGTAAAAAGGAAGATGCAGGAGGAGGAGGAAAGTGCACTAGCATTTATAATGTAAATCGCTTCACACCAGTCCGCCAAGCTGTGGATTTTTCCCTATGAAACCTGCAGTGAACCAAATAACACAGAAGTCTTATCATTCTAAGTGTGTTGTTGACTTGAATTAAATCTGTCATTTTCAGTTGTCTGGATCTGGAGCAGTGTTCTCTTAAGGTACTGGAGCCTGAGGGAAGCCCCAGCCTATGCTTACTGAAACTAATGGGTGAAAAAGGATGTACGGTCGCGGAACTGAGCGACTTCCTGCAGGCTATGGAACACACTGAAGTTCTTCATCTTCTCAATCCGCCAGGTAGGTGTTTTCCCTCAGGAACAGTCTCCAAACGTTCATGGAGTCAGATTTAGAGATGAGTATTTCTTTTGACCAGGTAAATTGTGTTCAATATATTTTTGGAAAATATAAATGTGTGGAGCCACTTCACAGGAGGATTCACAAAGTTCTTACTTTGCGTGAAGTCAGGTGGTTTCCTACTGCCCTATAGAGAGATTTGGTTAGGAGTAGAGTAGTAAGGTGAGTTCTGTCAAAAATTAACCAGTGTCTTCATAGGACAGGATTTTCAGGTCCAAATGCATGAAGGGGAAACTAGATTTATTCTAACTAGAGGAGGAACTTCAGTTTTACTTTTCTGTATTCCATTCCAGTTCCTATAGAACAAATAGCAAGAAGTAATTCTAAGATATATACTGTGAAGTTTCTCTTGTAATGATTGACTAATTTTGGCAGTACTAGAGTTTCAGCTCAGGGCTTTACCCCTGCTAGGTGAGGACATATTTAAGCCATACATGCGTCATATGTCTAACCCTTTCTGCTCTGGTTGTTTTCTTGTTTTTGTTTTTTTTTGTTTTTTGGTCTTTGGTTTATTTTTTTGGTCCGGTCGTGGGGCCTGAACTCTGGGCCTGGACGTTGTCCCTCAGCTCTTCAGCTCAAGGCTAGTGCTCTACCACAGCGCCACTTCCTGCTTTTTTCTTTTTGCTTATGTGGTGCTGAGAATCGAACCCAGGGACTCATGCATGCAAGGCAAGCACTCTACCACTGAGCCACCTTCCCAGCCCCTCTGCTTTGGTTGTTTTTGAGATAGGGTTTAGCTTTTGTCCAGGCAAGCCTGGACTGTAATCTTAGAATGTTAAAATATTTATTACTTGCTGGTTTTTATGAAATCAAGTTCATTATATGGCCCAGGCATCCAACATTGTGTTTCTGGGTGAGGAGTGTTTAGTCTTGGGTAATGTAGGAGGAGAGAATGTGATGTGAGAGACTAGATTTAGCCACAGTAGAAGCAAATGTAAATTGACTTGGAAAAGGAACACTGTGGACATACATTAGTTGTGTAATTAGGGAGGTGGTTGAAGAAAGAGGTGTAGATTCTTTTCAGTGAGAGCTTAGAAAAGTTCAGAGCAACTGAGAGGAAACATTGTAGATGGAAGTAGAGGCACTTTAGAATACTCAGTAAATTTGTTCTGGAAAAAGTGTTTGTAAACTATACTAATATTTAAATAATAAATTATAAGCAAGAAGAACTTACAGGGAACCTGTGATGAATCCTTTTGTCAAGTCAATAAACATTCCAATTGCAAACTTTAGATTCTGAATTTTGTTTTATTGCTCAATATCAGTATTTGTGTGCACAATCCTTAATTCCATCATACCTAGTCACATTCTCCAAGGCTTACAGGAAATCAAGTTCTCTCTCTTGAATCTTTGTAGATCTTATCTGAAAATCTGCTTGTTTGCCAGGAAGTTATGCATTCACCATTTAAAATGGAACTTTCATTTGTATACCTATGTATACTGTACCAGATTCTTTCTTATCTTTGTTTAACATTCTCAATAGTGAACACTTCATAAGAGTGCTTAGGGGTTGACCATGGCTCCTATGATACAAGACTATATAGGAAGAACAAAAATGTGTGGTTAAAATGAGAAGCATTGTAACTGCTTTTCTTTACTACTTACCAGGAACGATTTCCAAATAAGAGTGTGCCTTTCAATTCTTAGTGTTTAAAACAGTGATACAGATGTAGATGTACATATACATACAGAGACAGATATAGACCAATAACTACCAAAGGTTGTTGGTTATAGGACCCATTTGTAAATAGGGAGTTGAAATCTAAAATGTAAAAGTATAAAAATCACTTAATCTGTTGTAATCCCAACTACTCAGGCAGGAAGATCTTGAGCTCCAGGCCAGCCCACACAAAAGTAACAGCAAAACCCTCTCTCAAAATCAAAGAAAAATGACCCTAGTTAGATGGGCCAACATTGTGAATTTGAACAACAACAAATGCTGGCAGAGATGTGGGGGAAAAGGAACCCTATTGCACTGTTGGTGGAAATGTAAATTAGTACAACTACTCTGGACAGCAGTCTGGAGGTTCCACAAAATAAACATGGACCTTCCCTTTGACCCAGGCATACCATTCCTGGGCATCAACCCAGAACATCACAAGGCAGGATACAGTAAAGACACTTGCATGTCCATGTTCATTGTTGTACCATTCACAATAGTCAAGTTGTGGAAACAGCCCACATGCCCTACAATAGATGAGTGGTTCAAAAAAAATGTTGCAACAATGAGATATACAAGACTCTATGTTGAAAGACGAACTTTACAATTTAGGCTGGGTGGGGAGGGGGAGAAGGGGTGATGTAGTTGTGGAGATGAGAGGGAAGGGAAAAACAAAGAAGGAGGCAACAATGCTTGATAAGAAATGTACTCATTACCTTGCTTATGTGATTGTAACTCCTCTGTATAGTATTTTCACAATAAAAAGCTTATTTTTAAAAATGTGGTACTGAAACACAATAGAATTTTACACATCCATTAGAATAATATTATGTCATTTGCAGAGAAATGGATGGACCTAGAACAAATCATGTTAAGTGAGGTATGCCAAGTTCAGAGAGACAAATGGCACATGTTTTCTCTCATATGCAGAAGCTAGATCCAAAATACATCAAGACATGATATATTATAGCAGACTCTAAACATTCACACACAGTGAAACCAAAGGAAAATATTCTTAGAAGAGAAACACAGAAGTGTAATGCCTCTGAGCACATAAAGTAATATTTTATTGAAATGAACTCTAGGAAATGGAAACAAGAGCGTTTCTTTCTTTTCTTGTTTGTTTATCCATCTTTTGGGAATAAGCAAGGTGGGGAGGACAAAGAGCAAACCAGTGCAGCAGTGGTACTCAGTAGAAGTGATGCTAAAAATTAACTATACAATTTGTAGGTGGGGATGTGAGGTAAAAAAAACAGGGAGAGTGGGTGCCAGTGGTTCACGCCTGTAATCCTAGCTACTCAGGAGGCTGAGATGTGAGGATCGAGGTTCAAAGCCAGCCGGGGCAGGAAAAGCTGTGAAACTCTTATCTCCAATAAACCACCAGAAAACCAGGAGTGGCGCTGTGGTTCAATGGTAGAGCGCTGGCCTTGAGCTGAAGAGCTGAGGGACAATGCTCAGGCCCAGAATTCAAACCCCATGACTGACCAAAAAAAAACCTGGGAGAGAGTGAATAATTTACCCAAATTACCTTGGATAAATTATTTAACCTCTTTGGGACTAATTTTTTTAATTAAAATTCCAAAGTGAGGTGGAATCTTAGTGTTGTTTGATTTGCCTTTATTGCCAGACATATTGAACATTTCTTTATGTGCCATTGGCCACTTTTACTTATTCTTCTCAGAAGCCTCTCTTCAAGTCCTTAGCCCATTTATTAATTAGGTCATTGTTTCTTTGAGGGCTTAATTTTTGAGAGTTTAATTTTTTGAGCTCTAAATATATTCTGGATAATTAGGCCCTTGTCTGATGTACAGCTGGTAAAAATCTCCCGTTATATGGACTTATATTTAGCTTATTAGCTATGTCCTTTGCCATGCAGAAATTTTTAAGTTTGATGTGATCCCATGTATCAAGTCTTTCTTTGACTTGTGTTTCTGGATCTTTACTTGAAAAGTTTTTTACCTGTGCCCAGAAGCCCTATGATCGATTTTGGATTGATCCTGGTACAAGGTTATATATGAGGATCAAGTTTCCGTTTTTGCATGGTGATAGCCAGTTTTACCAGCACCATTTGTTGAAGAAGCTGTCTTCCTTTCAGCCTATGTCATTGGCTCTCTTATGAAGATTAGATGGATATAAGTCTATAGGTTCATTTCTGGGTCTTCTCTTCTGTCCCATTGGTCTTCAGGCCTATTTTGTGCCAATACCAAGCCACTATCAAGAAAACAAATAAGCCGGGCACTGGTGGCTCACACCTGTAATCCTAGCTACTCAGGAGGCTGAGATCTAAGGATTTGGGTTCGAAGCCAGCCCAGGTAGAAAAGTCCATAAGACTCTTATCCTCAACACCTCAGAAAAAGCTGGAAGATGCTATGATTCAAGTAGTAGAGTGTTAGTCTTGAGCAAAAGAGGCTCAGGTTCAAGCCCCTGGACTAGCAGAAGAAAAGAAAAAGGAAAGAAAGAAAAACAAGAAAAAGAAAGAAAGTGAGAAAGCAAACAACAGATGCTCACCCATTAGAAAGAATGATATTGTACCATTCATAAGGAAATGGGGGGAAAATATATTAAGTGAAATAAGCCAGACCAGAGAAAAAAAGGTTGTATGGTTTTCCTCATTTGTGGTAGATAGAATGTGCCTCTAGATCTATAAGTAAACATGTTGAGTGATGTGCAAGTGGTTAGAAATGAAGTAATAACTGAAGTATAAAAGGCACCACAGAGAGCTCAAATAATATACATTTTTAGAAAGACTGGGTCAAAGCCTAACCAAATTAACACCAGAAAATGGGTACATGAAAGAGGTGTAATGGGGCCGATGGGAAGAGGGGTAGACAAATGAAGTGGGGGAGGAAGAGAGAATGCAGGCAAGAATTTACTGTATATACCACAAAATTAAGAAAAGTAATGGCACCTCCTTTGTACAACTACTTAAAGATAATTTAACAATAAAAGTAAGTAAACAAAAATAAAATGCCAGAAATGGTAACGTTTGAGATCATTGAGACAGTCAAATTTAAAGCCAGTTTAGGCAAACATATTTTTCAGATTCATACTTGTTTCTTTCATTGTTGTTGTGATGCTTTCTTTTTTTTATCACACCTAAACTTGGATAATCAGAATCTTTCTATCCTAAAGTTGTGCTGTAATGATTCTGAAGAGAAAAATGGCAATAATATCACAAGGCTGCAAATTTGATGGCTTCGTTTTCCAACTTTCTACCAACCCATATCACAGAACTTAGAAAAACCTGAACTTACTCCATTCTGGCTTCCCCTCTCCCTTGTCAGGAGATTTAAGTTCTTTTTTGAGGAGTTGTATTATAACTACCGACCATTTCCTAGTGTTTCTCCAGATCTTAAGATGTGATAAGTGTGCAATATATTCACTCACTTTTTGGGGATGGGGGGAGGGAGTGGGTCGTGGGGGCTGAACTCTGGGCTTGGGCGCTGTCCCTCAACTCTTCAGCTCAAGGCTGGAGCCCTACCACTTGAGCCACAGCACCACTTCTGGCTTTTTTCTGCTTATGTGGTGCTGAGGAATCAAACCCAGGACCTCATGCATGCGAGGCAACACTCTACCACTGAGCCAACTTCCCAGCCCTATTTACTCACTTTTAACATGGTTTTTATTTTATCTTTTTGGTATGTACTTTTATTTATTTTTTTTTTGCCAGTCCTGGAACTTGCACTTAAGGCTGGGCACTGTCCCTGAGCTTTTTTTTGCTCAAGATTAGCAGCATTCTACCACTTGAGTCACCAATGCTGGCTTTTTCTGCTTATGTGGTACTGAGGAATCAAACCCAGGGCTTCATACATGCTAGGTGAACACTCTGCCACTAAGACACATTCCCAGCCTTTATATACCTTTAGAACCTTTGCTATATTAAGATTGCTTTATATATATTTTTGGTGGTACTCAGGTGTTAACTCAGAGCCTCCTAGTTCCTAAGCAGGTGCAATAGCCCTTCCCAAGTAGCTGGATAGGATTACAGGCACAAACCACTGTGCTGAGCTGAACAGCTTTATTATAGCTGGAGTTCCAAGGATTGGAGTCTAGGTTACTGTCCCTCATGAGGGGGCTAACTGCTGGCCAAGGTTTTTGTCACCTGATGGTTTAAGGTTGGAAAGTCCTCTTCTCAGATCATTTACACAGCTGTCATCAGGAGACCCACAAACACATACTTCTTCACTGACTTGGTAGGAGGCCCAAGTTTCTTCACTAATTTGGGTTTCTTTGCAAAGCGGCTTGTGAGTCCCAGAGTCGGTGTTTGGAAGAGAGGTTGCAGAGAGGGAAGCGGGTAGGGGCCTACGTTCTGTAAAGGACGCTGGGATTGTCTTTCAGAGTCTTGCCAAGAGTGTTTTGAGTTACAATGTTGGTAATCATTCCTCAGATGAAAACTATTTGTATAACTATCCAATTTATATCTTGTTTCCATACTTTTCTGCTTCCAAAATAGCGTTAGTTTCAAATGTAAGTCAGAATACTGTCATTTCATGACTTTTTTATTTGATTTGAAGTCATGCCATGAAATTGCTTTAATGTTTTTTATAGTGCTATAACAGAATTCTACAGACTAGATAATTTTATCAAGAGCCAGTTTATTTCTCACAAGTCTAGAGGCTGAGAAGTCCGAGATAAAGCTCTGGTATGTGGTGAGACCTTGCAGCCTCCTCGGCAGGCACAGGTGGAAGGGCAAGAAGGGACAGACTTTGTGTCCTATACAGTATAAGAACAGAAGAGACAACAAACCCACTGGGCAAGCCTTTTTGTAGTGCCATTAATCCATTCATGAGGATGGAGTCCCTGTGTCCTAAACAGCTCCTCACTTCCAACACTGCTACATTCAGTACTGAGCTTCCACCATGAATTTGAGAGAACACATTAAGCCCATTAACAGTCATTTAGACATAATACTTGCATTACTAATAGACACATGAGCGTGTACAACCAGACGTTGCCTGAGCTGACTTCTGCATAACCAGATACCTGTTCGGAAGTGTTAGCATATAGAAAAAAGATTCTGTGAATTATATATAATTAATTTTCCCTCCCAATTGCAAGGAAGAAAAGTAGATCAAAGAACACTTCTGCAGGTAGGCTTTTTCCTTGAGGTTTGCAAAGCCTACAACTCATGAGCTCAAACTGATGGGAAAAAGCATAATGGGTGAGTATGACAAACATATATATGCAAGTTATTTCCAAATACTTCTGGGCTTGTTTTCAGATACGTAAACAAACCCTCTTAGTTTATTTAACTTTTCTTTCTTTTTTAAGGATTAAAGATCACTATAAATCCAGAATCAAAGGCAGTCTTGGCTGGGCAGTTTGTGAAACTGTGTTGCCGTGCAACTGGACATCCTTTTGTACAATATCAGTGGTTCAAAATGAATAAAGAGGTAATTTCTAATGTCTTTTATCATGTTGCAAGAAGAGAGAAGCAGAAAAGTAATCAGAATTCTTGTTCTGAATGTGATTTGGGGAATTTTATTAAAAAGTCTGGTCCAAAAAGACAAAACCAAAATGTAACCATGCAATCACTTGCCCATTGTAAAACAGGAGAGTAGAGGTTTCTTAGGTCATAATCCTAACAAACATGAGCTCCACTCTATTCTGATGTCATTCTCCAAAGCTCTTCACAGCAGACTGCTCCAACAAAAATTCTTAACAAGATTTTCGATGCTACACCGAAAGCTAAGGAATGTTATTTTAAGAGCTGCACAAAACTGAATTATATCAAAAGATTTAAGCCATTCTTTTTTTTGTTTTGATTTAGTTTTTTGCTCTTGTCCTGGGGCTTGAACTCAGGCCTAAGTTCTTATCTCTGAGCTTCTTTTGCTCAAAGCTAGCACTCTTATCACTTGAGCCACAGCTCCACTTCCAACTTTTTTAGTAGTTTATTGGAGATAAGAGTCTCATGGTAGCCTGTGCTGGTAGCTCATGCCTATCATCCTAGCTACTCAGGAGACTCAGATGTGAGGATCATGGTTCAAAGCCAATTAGACAGAAAAAGTCTATATGAGACTCTTATCTCTAATTAGCCACCAGAAAACTGGAAATGGAGCTTTGGCTCAAAGTGGTAAAGTGCTATTGAACAGAAAAGCTCAGAGATGGTATCCAGCCCGAGTTCAAGCCCCATGACTAAAAACAAAAAAGTCTCATGGACTTTCCTGACTCTGTCTGGCTTTGAACCATGATGCTCAGCTCTCAGCCTCCTGAGTACCTAGGATTACTGGTATGAGTGCAGCACCCAGCATAGGCTGTTCTTAAGTACAATTCAGATTACAAAGTAGGCATTTTTTTTCTAGTTGGGGAAGGATTAGATCAAATTAATAAATTTATATCAGAAATTGAAATTCATTTCTTCTCCCTCTCCCTCCTTCATCTTTGAGATTGAATACAAGCCCTTGTACATGCTTGCTATTTTTTTTTTGGGGGGGGGTCCATTCATGGGGCCTGAACTCTGGGCCTGAGTGCTGTCCCTCAGCTCTACAGCTCAAGGCTAGCGCTCTACCACTTGAGCAACAGCACCACTTCCAGCTTTTTTCTTTAACCCTTGTACATGCTACCTACATCCCTGACCCTTGGTCTTTTGAGACAGTATCTTACTATGTAGCTCAAGCTGAACTGAATTTTTCTTCTTCCATCTCCGAAGTGCTAGGATTATATAGGCATGCACCACCATGCTTAGCCATAGAATCTTCTTCTCTTTCAAGTTCTTTGAGCTGCTTTGATACTAGAGAGTTCTTACTCTTCTAGTTGCCTTATGTATGCCCCACTGTTGTAGACTTTTTTCTTTTATTTCATCCTTTACCCCTTCCTTTCTACTTTGTATATTAAAATTCTGTATTCTAAAAAAAAAAAAAAATTCTGTATTCTTTTCAACCTGTTAGTATTTCACCTTTCTTCCAAACTTGATAATCTGAAACCAAACAAGAGCCATTCTGAGATCATTATCTTTCGTTAAGTAAGATAATCTTAAATTATAGCAGAAATTTGTGGTTTATGCAAATGTTTTTATTTCTGTCCCTGAATACAGTTAAGGTAGAGCAACTGTGGCATGTAGCAAAGAGATGATATGTGGACTTTGGTTCTCATAACTCTGCACTGGATCCCTGTTACTGGCCATTTAAATTTCTATCATGTGTTGTGAGAAATTAATTGTGCCTAGCTTTCTTGAGATATAGTAGCTAATGTTATTCTTACTGTATCTCCTCTAATGCAAAGTTGCTTTTATGTTGATAAATGTCTTTTGAGGATAAGATAATGAAAAAAAATGCCGCGGTAAATATATCATTTGTAGAGTACATCCAGATGTGATAGGTAGGAATGTAGAGGATTTGGAGTATGTGTTGGATTTGAAAAGTTGGAATGAATTTAGCAAGCTAAATTTTATCAGACTACCCTAGTGTTCATATGTCTGATTTAAGAGACATTCACTTAATTAAAGTATTTCTTAACTGCATATTTTATTCCAGGTCTCATTCTAAGGCATGATAATAGATTTCCACGGTCCCTGTCCTCACAGAGCTTGCAACCCAAGCCAGAGATAGTTAACGAAGGCATTGTTTCTGTGAGCTAAAAACTAGTGAGGCGGTTAAAATAATCGGTGTGGCAATAGGAAGTGAGATGTCACTAAAGGTTTTAAGATAGGGAAGAAACCTGGTAAGATTTATGTTTTCAATACACAAACTTGCAGCTTGAAGGAGCTAAAGAACTACAAGAAGACCGAATATTTAATGTCCGTGCTTGACTTAGAAATAGCTGTAGTGTGGACTCACATTCAGCAGTAGAGGTAGATCCCAGGGCATATCTCAGAATGTATTTTAGAAATATCCAGACTACTAGATTGGGTATGAAGCACAGGGAAAAAGAAATCCAAGGTAACCCCTACATTTTCCACTTGAACAATTTGGACATGTTTGTACTGAGTTTTTGAGAAAACTGAATAGAAAGAGATTTAAGGAGAAAAATTAAGAGTTTTATATAAAACAAGTGAAGTTTGACATGTCTGTTACATATCCAAGGTGAAATCAGCTAGGCAGTTTGGCTTTCCAGGGAGACAGCGTTGAGAGGTATGTAGTGAAGGAAAATAAAGGAATGGTCAGTGAGGATTCTATGGGAGAAAAAATAAAGAGAGAAAATATTTCAAGAACAAATGGTGGTTAGCGTTTTCAGTGCTTGGGACAGGAAGGGTACAAGAGTATGTTTTTGAAAATGGTGTAGTGAAAAGAGAGAGGTAGATGTCAAAGCAGAGAACATTGCAGGAGCAAGATCAGAGAGGACGAGATTGTTGGAGAAGGAAAGCTTTTGCTCTACACCCTTTGGTTTAGTGTTAGAGATCTGCAAATAACAGACAAGATGGATTGGCAAGAGAAAAGCTCTATTCATATCCAAAGCCTGCCACTTACTAAGAGAATCTCAGAAGTTTATACATCTAACGTAGTAAGAAGGGGGTGGGGACCCTCATGGCCAACACCAGATTTCTTCAAAGGGGAGAAGAAGATAGTTTGTGATGTTTATTCATTCAGGTATCAGGTTCAGAAAGTTTCTCTTAACTCTGCAGAAGGGATTTATTTATCTAGTCAGGGAGTAAAAGCTACCTCAAAAGGAAACATGGCAGCCTCATTTCTTAGAAGTGCCTTCTTTTTGTCACAAAGGAAGCTGGCAAAAGCTTCTTTCTGCATCTGTTCAGCCCTATATGTCTTCAATTTAATACAATCTTCACACCAGCATTAGGGTTCTGAGTTGGTCCTCACAGACCTTTTAGCCCAAGTAGCCTTTATTGGGAAAACATATCTTCATTTTTTTTAGTATTGTGAAAATACAGAGGGGTATAATTACATGAGCAAGGTAATGAGTACATTTCTTATCAAGCATTGTTGCCTCCTCCTTTGTTTCCCCTTCCCATCCCTTCCCATCTCCCCCCCATCCCCCCACCCCCTCATCTCACCCCCCCCTCCATGCCAAAGTTGTAAAGTTCGTTTTTTAACATAACGACTTGTTGCAATGGGTCCACCTGTAACCCTATTTAAACAATTTGTTTTTTCCCTTCCCCTCCCCAAATTATACCAACATCAAATACAGTGAAAACAGGGTCTTCATCTTAACTGAAGCAAAAAAGGCAGTTGTGAATAACTCCAAGCATATGTGAGTTTGTGGTTCAGCAGCAGGAAGAGATGATTTCTATCTATAGACATATAGTACATGAGAGAAGTAGGATTGGACTGAGATGTGAGAAGAAAGCATGCATTACTCAGTCGTCTGGGATACATGGTAGGGTTGTAAGGCAGTGTTAAGTGCAGCCTGTGCAGCTGCTCTGCTTAAATGGATTTGTAAAAGCTATATGGATTTCCAGAACTTCAATTCTTAAGATGATATTGTTTATTTTATAACTAACAAACATTTTAGAAATTGAAAGAAAAAAATGTATACTTTCTGAGCTCCGTAGTGAAATCACTGTGTTTTGTAAGATGTGTTGTGATGGAATCATTCACTTAATATGCTCTAATTAATTTTCACAGATTCCATATGGAAATTCACCAGAACTTATTTTTAATGCAGTGCATGTGAAGGATGCAGGCTTTTATGTCTGTCGAGTTAATAATAATTTTACCTTTGAATTTAGCCAGTGGTCACAGTTGGATGTTTGTGATGTGACAGAAGTAACAGAAAGTTTCCGGGGTAAGTCACAAAGTTGAAGTTTGCTTGATGGGTTATCTTTATTTTAATATTTGTTTTTAAATGGACTTTAAAAATACCAAATAGTACCCAAGGTTATATGTATGTAGTATTTACCCAGTGGTGTCATTGGACAGTAAGATTTGACCCCATGTGGTTTGATTGTCCTTCTCATGTGTCTTGCCTCTTACATGTGCTTACAGAACTCACAAGATGTTATAGAAATTTCTCAGTTTGGTCCTTGCTGCTGAGATTTTCAAACATTCTAGCTTTTGACCTGGAGCTTTTGTGCATGACATCTATAACTCAAGTATAGTTTCTCTTCTTTGCTTCCATTTCTTGATTTATCCTGCCTAATACTTTGATTACCCCAGAATTTCCAAGTTTTTATTATCCACATCACATTGATCTCTTTTTTTTCTTTGGTCTCTTCAATGTTTGGGGGAATACTACAGTTTTATCAAACACCATTTAGGATATGTTTTTAAAGATTATAAAAACTAAGCTGGGCACTGGTGGCTCATGCCTGTAATTCTAGCTATCCAGGAAACTGAGATGTGAGGATCACAGTTAAAAGCCAGCCAGGGAAGGAAAGTCTTTGAGATTCTTATCTTCAATTCACCACTGGAAAACCAGAAGTGGAACTATGACTCAAAGTGGTAGAGTGCTCGCCTGGAATCAAGCCCTGCAATGGACAAAAAAAAAAAAAAACAGAAGAGTAAACTTGGGCACATATATTTATGTAAAGTGTAGAGGAATTTTGTTTTAATTTTTAACTTAGAGATTTTGTTTCCTTTTAATTCAAGGTAGTTTGGATGGCATCTCTGAATCCAAGTTGCAAATCTGTGTTGAACCAAAGTCTCAAAAACTGGTGCCAGGTAGCACATTGGTTTTACAGTGTGTTGCTGTTGGAAGCCCCATTCCTCACTACCAGTGGTTCAAAAACGAGTCACCATTAACACATGAGACAAAAAAGCTGTACATGGTAGGTAGTTGGTTTGTTGGGGTGTCTTGGGGGCTAATATATAAAACAAATAGTACAATTAATATGTAAAGTGAACACTAAAATAAAATATATTCTTTGAAGTGTTTTAGATCCCTTATGATTTAATATTAATTGATTCTTAATATTTGTGAAAGTGGTGTAATTCTACCTGGGCTTCTAAGTAAAATGATAAACATTGTACCAAATTCTCCACTATTAGAATAATTATATCATTTGCTTGCTAATATTTAACCTCATAAATGGAGATAGGAAATGTTGAAAGTCGGGCTGGGAAGGTGGCTCAGTGGTAGAGTGCTTGCCTTGCATGCATGAGGCCGTGGGTTTGATTCCTCAGCACCACATAAGCATAAAACAACAAAAAACAAAGAAATGTTGAAAGTCTTTTGGAAATTTTTTCAAACACAAAATGGCTTTTACTAAGCCATATTTTTTTTTCTTTTTGGGGGGTGGTGATATTAGTCTTTAAATTCAGGGCCTCACATTTGATGGGCGGGTGCTTTACCATTTGGTCCAGGCCCAGAGTCAGTCACAGCACAGACCTAATCCTCCTGCCTGTGGCACCTGAATAACTGGGATTATAAATGTGTACTACCACACCCTGCTTATTGAGATAGGATCTCACTTTTTGCCATGCTCCAAATTGGAATCCTCTAGATCTTGCCTCCCAAATCACTGGGATCATAAGCATGAGCCACCACACGTCTGGCCTGTTAAGCAAATTTAAATTAAAATTGAAGAGAAAATGTCTGTTTCTGATATGGATATAGGTACCGTATGTGGATTTGGAACATCAAGGAACCTACTGGTGTCGTGTATCTAATGATCAAGACAGTCAAGATAGTAGAAAGGTAGAAATCATCATAGGTAAGCAGTATTTCTCAGTGTTCTGACAAGTCAGATGTAAGCCATAAATAAATATTTAAGCAAAAGGAATTCTCCTTTTTTGCCTTATGTTTAATAGTATGTAAAGTGCTAGAAGTTGTTTCTTTTTTCTTTTTCCCTACCGAAGTTAGTTTTGTTTACATAAAAATGTTAAGAATGCAGGGGCTGGGAAGGTGGCTCAGTGGTAGAGCGCTTGCCTTGCATGCATGAGGCCCTGGGTTCGATTCCTCAGCACCACATAAGCAAAAAGAAAAAAGCCGGAAGTGGCGCTGTGGCTCAAGTGGTAGAACACTAGCCTTGAACTGAAGAGCTGAGGGACAGCGCCCAGGCCCAGAGTTCAGGTCTCGCGACCGGACCCCCCCAAAAAAAAAAAAAAGTTAAGAATGCATACTAAGGTCGTACTCTAGTTTCTTTATACAAAGAGCAAAAAGAAATGAAAATGACCTTATTGGCTCATTCTACTTATTTTTTAATGTTGTAGTTTATTTTAAACACTTGTGTCAAAATGTGTTCTTTAAAGCTTTGAGTCTAAAAAACTTGGTCTAGTGGAAGAGTTTTAATAAACAAAAACTATCACAGACATAAGAGTATTAGTCAAAATTCCAATTATGAGCTGTATAATTTGGTAGTTTGTTCTATTTAATATAATTATGGCTATGTCGTTAGTAGTAGGAGATGTTGGTTATGTGTTGGTTTGACAACATATATCTGTGATATTTCTTTCTCTCTACTTAATGGCTGCTTTTCTAAAAGAATGAGTTCAATATATTTAAATTTTTTTCTCTGGCACAAGGAAGAACAGATGGGGCGGTGGAGTGCACGGAAGGTAGTATAACCTTTGGTTTGAGACTGAGTCTCCTGCATGCCGGACACTCTTGGGGATTGGTGGAGGACTCTAAAGTGCTGTGATGGAAAAAATACTAGCTCTCAGAAACTACTTCGACTGAAGAATATTGTATCCTAGTTTTTGTAGTTTTATAAATTGCCTCAGACACTATGAAACTGACTCATAACTAACAGTGTTCAGTTGTTTTCTCTTGTGTGTAAGAACAAAGCTCCTCATAACATATTTTTAATAATGAACACTTAGGATTTTATGTTTTTGAGTCATGGTCCTACCATGTAGTCTAGGCTGGTCTGAAATTCTCAGTCCCTCTGAGTGCTGAAATTTCAGACATGTGCCATTTTCTGACTATTTACAATTAACTTGAATGTTAATTGTATCTTCAGACATTAAAAAATAGCTATTTTGTCATGAGTATTTGTTTAGATCATCTTATCCCTTAAGCATGATAAGATGCTCCTCAAATTCAAATGCAGTTTCTGTTGAAATTTCAGGACAGATTTATTGTCCAACACAGGTTTTATCAAATAGCAAATATTCTAGAAATAAAGTAGAAATTTTTGGGGCTACAAGTCTCTAAATTAATCCACCATTTCATCTCTGCCATTTACAGAACACTGAAAATCTATTTTGACATAAATTCCAAATTTGTTTTAATTAACTACAGTACTGTACTTAAATTGTAATGAGTAAATGCTAAAACTTGGATTATCTTAGTGTGATGCTACATTAGACTTCATATTTAGGTTTGTGGATAGCAAAGTATTTTTTCAATTGCCGCCTCTTCAGACTATTACATACTCTTGTTTCCTATTTGAATAAAGTAAAAAAATAATATTTAATCTTACATTTACTAGCTTTCCTGTCATTTGGATTTCTATAGTATCATTTTAAAATACTAATAACTGGGGCTGGGAAGGTGGCTCAGTGGTAGAGCACATGTCTAGTATGCACAAGGCCCTGGGTTCCATTCCTCAGCACCACATAAGGAAAAAGAAAAAAAGCCGGAAGTGGTGCTGTGGCTCAAGTGGTAGAGCGCTAGCCTTGAGCTGAAGAGCTGAGGGACAGCGCCCAGGCCCAGAGTTCAGGCCCCACGACTGGAAAAAAAAAAAACAAAATACTAATAATTGCTGCTTTTATTCTAAATGTAACTGAACAAGAATCCTAGGAGATCTAATCCCTGATCTGTTAACCCTGAATGAAGGACATTATGTGATGAAATCCTATTGAAACTTTTCTCCCTCTCTCACTCCTTTTTGCTTAATTGCATTAGAGATGTCTGAGAATAAATACAAATGAGCACCACTGTTTGGCTTTAGATGCATGTGATTATCACATTCCCATGCTGCTTGTGTGCCTGCATGATTTACCACATAATTTTTTCCAATGGCAATAATAATTTTCAAATAACTGATTCAGAACACCTAGTCTGGGAATGTAGCTCAGTGGTAGAGCACATGTCTAGTATGCACAAGGTCCTAGGTTCAATCACCAGTGCCTCTAGGAAAACACACAGAAAAAAAATCACCTATGACAGTTGCTCTAAAAGTTTTAGATGGAAAAAGTAGATCCAACGTTTTTTCTCAGAAAGTCTACAAAACTGGAGACATTTTACAGTTGGCGAATTGATACATATTGACAACTTGACATTTTATTTTATATATTTTATTAAAGCTTTTGATTAAGACAAGAGGTAGAGTTGGATAACTGAAATCTGGGGTAGCTGTGGCAGTGAAATTGACATATAACTCAGATTGTCCCTGGTAAAGCTAAAGGCAAGGGGACCCCAAGACAAACACAGACTGTGACAAAACTATCTAACTGTATTACAAATGTATGAAACATCCTCACTAAAGTAGGTGGGACAAACAGATAAGAAAAATATCACCAGTAGCTGATACCTCTAATCCTAGCTACTCAGGCAGGATCTGAGGATCATGATTCAAAGCCAGCCCAGGCAGGAAAGTCCTCAAGATTCTCATCTCCAATTAATCACCACAAAAAAAAAAAAAAAAACCCAGGCCAGAAGCACTAGCCTTGCCTTGAGCAAAAAAAAGTTCAGGGATAGTGCCTACAATAGGCACCCCCCCCCAAAAAAAAAAACCCATCTTACAGACATAACAGTAAAATTACACATACCCTGTGCACTGGTAGATTCTACTTTTAGATGATTTTCTGTGCTGTAAGAATATCATTTTGAGGCAAGCCCTGGTTGCTCATACCTATAATCCTAGCTCGTCAGGAGGCTGAAATCTGAGGATCGTGGTTCACAACCAACCTGGGCAGGAAAGTCCCTGATACTCTCACATAAACTACTCAGAAAAAGCCAGAAGTGGTACTGTGGCTCAAGTGGTAGAATGCTCAGGCCTCAGGATTGGCAAAAAAAAAGGAATATCATTTCTCCGTATCACTTTAGGAATAGTGTAATACTTGTAAATTGTTGTGAATGTTAGTTTTTACCTTCTTTAAATGTGTAAAGAACAAAACAGGTGTTGGCTATAATGTTATGGATATTTGATTGAATTAGCCACATTGTGATTGTATAAGCCACATTTGATTGTGATTACCCACATCAGACCTTGAGAGACCATTAGTCTAACCATTAGAAAAGCATCAGAAAAATGTCAAGGGACATTCTACAAACTATCTGGCCAGTTACTCCTCAGAACTCAAAAATAAGAAATATTTGAGTACCTGTTATAATCAAGAAGAGCCGAAAGAGACACAGTAAATGTGTATGGTGTCCTAGATGGAGTCCTAAGACAAAACAAAACAAAAACATGACTAGTTCATTAACTTGTGACAATATAACATGTTAATAAGAGGAAAACAAAAAAGTTCATAAGACTCCAATCTCATCAGAAAAGGCTGGGCATACTGGTGGGCACCTGTTACTCTAGTGACAGCAGAAAACCTAAATAGGACTATAGTCAAGGATGGGCCAAGGAAAAATTGAGACTATCTCAAAAATAACCAGGGCAAAAGGAGTAAGAGGTATGGCTGAAGAAGTAGAGCCTGGGCTGGGAAGGTGGCTCAGTGGTAGAACGCTTGCCTTGCATGCAAGAGGCCCTGGGTTCGATTCCCCAGCACCATATAAGCAAAAAGGAAAAAAGCCAGAAGTGGCGCTGTGGCTCAAATGGTAGAGCGCTAGCCTTGAGCTGAAGAGCTGAGGGACAGCGCCCAGGCCCAGAGTTCAGGCCCACGACAGGAACCAAAAATATATGTATATATATGTATATATATATAAAAGAAGAAGTAGAGCCTCTCCTAGCAAATGCAAAGCCCTGAGTTTAATCTCCAGTTCTACCACAGAAACAAAACAAACAAACAAAAACCTTAAGTTTGGGGTATACAGGAACCTTCTATATTGTCCCTCAGTAATTCTATGGATCTTCTGCTGTTCTAAAATTCTTTTAAAAATCATTAGAGATTAATTTCAAGAAGCCACAGACTTACCTCTTGACTATGTTAGCCCTATAATTGGCCAAAATATCTCAAACTTTGAACAAACTATGAATGAGTCTATTTAGCTGTGTGTGTGTGTGTGTGTGTGTGTGTGTGTGTGTGTGTGTGTGTGTGTGTACTGGTACTTGATCTGGCACTATGAATGAGTCTATTTAGCTGTGTGTGTGTGTGTGTGTGTGTGTGTGTACTGGTACTTGATCTGGCATAAGAGTCTCTCGGACTCTACTGCCTAGGCTGGCTTCAAACTATAATCCTCAGATCTCAGCGTCCTGAGTAGCTAGGATTACAAGTTTGACCACACCCCAACCCCCTCTACCCCTGTTTATTTAGCTTTTTGTCATTTAATGAAAACAATAGCTTAGAAATCCTGAGTGATGTCCACAACAGTATTCTTTGCTATTTATTCCTATTTGCATGCCTTCTTCATTTGATTTGGAAAGTTTGAAACTGATAAAACCTAACACGACTCAAAAAATAGCTTTGTCATTACTCTTACAATTTGTGCTAAATAAGCTTTTAGATTATTTCAAATTAATCTATTTTATCTTATTTTGTTTTAGATGAATTAAATAATTTTGGACATCCTGGTGAGTAAGACAAACAGAATATTTTAGTTTTAGATTAGTAAATTGAGAACAACAAAGACACTAGACACTCTTTAGTAATCCTAGCAACTTTATTTGTTTTGTTGAAATAATAAAAACTACAGTTGAAATTACTACTTACTTGCAGTTCAGTTTCATACAAAGGAGAATCAATAATGTTCTTGATTACAAAAATATAAGGGTAGGAAAATACTTAATGTGACAGAAAATCAATGTATATTATTCCTTATATCAAGAAGGAAGTTAAAGAAGGAAATGTATGATCTTTAAATTGCATGATAAGCATATTTCAAAGAGTGATGAGTCACATTCCTGAGCTTATCAGACCCTTAGTATCTGTGGTTTACACATCGAACCTCTGAAGTCTGGTGTGTTAGTGAGGATAGTGAGTGAGCACTATGCAGACAAGCTGGGCAGTGACCTTGAAAAGACTGACAAGCGGAGGAATATGCAAACCTCGTCCAGCTTTAATCACAGATTACTGAACAAGCTAAGCCAAAGGGAAAATTTTTAACTAGGATAAAAGGTATACCAATAGTGAGAACTATGAAAAACATTGATAAAGGTTATGGACATTCTGAAAAGCAGTAAGGGAACCTGGCAGTAGATTTGAATAAAATTATAGAGAAGTACATTAAGAAGGCAGTTAGGTAATTTCATATTTAGAGAAACCTATGTCTCATTATTTTAGTGTGTAACTGGTTTCCTTGCCTACCTGCTTTTCTTCTCTTTCTTCTCTTCCTACTCTGCTCTGTCTCTCTCCTTCCTTCCTCTCTCTATTTCTTTCTATGTGTGGTACTGGAGACTGATCCCAGCACCTCATACATGCTAGACAAGTACTCTACCACTGAAGCCCGAGCAGTGTGTTTAGTTTCCTATTTCATAAACATCTATCATTGTACATGCATTTTGGGCTGTGCTGATTATATATAACCAAATTGGACAAAGCAGAAAGACACTTGCCGAACTGTAATGTGCTCAAATTCATGCAAAGCCTCCATGAGACATGCTCACACACCCAAACATCAGTACTTCTGGAAAAACACCCTAGCAATTGCTTCTGTTTGTCTGGATTGAATTCCTTTTCCTATATTTATTGTTTGTTGTTTCTTTCCCTTTAATGAACATGTTGAAATTATTTCATAAAATGTTTTGCTTACACATATCATTAAACTTCTAAATTTTCCTGGCCCCCTCTTCCCTTACTGTCCCAGGATTTGAGAGAAAATTTGAATGTAAAAGAAGTGTTGTGGAAGTGGCGCTGTGGCTCCAATGGTAGAGTGCTAGCCTTGAGCTGAAGAGCTGAGGGACAGCGCCCAGGCCCAGAGTTCAGGCCCCATGACCCGCAAAAAAAAAAAAGAAGTGTTGTGTTATATATCAGGAAAGCTTGGACGAGGCTCCCATAGCATTTCTATTACTAGCCATGCACACAGATATTTACCCTCTCCACAGTAGTGTACACATGGATTGAACTACATCTTGCTCTGCATCTCTAACCTGGTGGTACTCATGGGTGAGCAGGACTTTATGCTCTCTAGAGGAATGGCGAAAGTGTCGAATCTGGGATGAAACTCCTTCAGTTAGAGCCCAAATTTGCTATTAGTTTCACAGCTTCAGGCAAATGACCTAACTTCTCTCTCGTTCAGTTTCTTTATCTGTGCAGTGGCATATCACCTCACAAGGCAGACATCTGTAGATAAAGCATGCAAACAGTGGCGGCAGAGGTGCAGGTGTTAACAAAGACTGCTGCTCCTTGTTACATTCCCTCCACTGCCCTTCTCAGATTATCATTGTTACAAGCTGTCAGTTACCAAAGAAATTCTCCTGCCTTGACTCCAATTCTATCCATGCTGTTTTATTAACAATCTGAATATCTGCTGGGCGCTGGTGGCTTATGCCTGTAATCCTAGCTACTCAGGAGACTAAGATCTGAGAATTACAGTTCATAGCCAACCTGGGCGGGAAAGTCTGTGAGACTCTTATCTCCAATTAACCACCAGAAAACCAGAAGTAGCCCTATGGCTCAAGTGGTAGAGCACTAGCCTGAGCAGAAGAGCTCAGGGATAGTGCCCAAGCTGAGTTCAAACCCCAGGACCAAAATCAAAACAAAAAAAAAATCTGAACACCTTATAAATGTAAGTAATTAATTAGCAAGTCTATTCTGTATTTTTTCCTTTTAAATATTTTTCTCTAATTGACATAAAATATATGTATTTACTCAGTACAGTATTGTAACCAGTAATTGATTCTTCAAATTCTTCTTTAATTATTTTTAAAAGTACAGTTGTTGCTCTATTGTGCTATACAACATTAGAATATTTGACCTCTATTGTATTTAGGTACTCATTATCAACCCTTTCTGTTCCCCCACCTTTCCAGCCTCTAGAGACCTTTTCATTAACCTATTTTAATAATGCTGCTACTATTTTCCTTCATTGCTTTCCATTTAGCTTGAGTCCTAAAAATATCTGTATCTTGAATGGTGACATGTTTTTGCTTTCTTATCTTTGTATAGATAATAAAGAACAAACAATTGACCAGCCTTTAGGTGAGTAGAGCTTAATGTGCATGATCAAATATAAATGTTTAACTATTTTTGATGAACATGAAAGGATTTATTTTAACTATTTTTGTAACTATTTTATCATGGAAGCCAAATTTTTATTGTTGATATTTGAAGAAGAAATATAAAGAGGCTTTATAAAATTACAGATTCGGTTTCTGGTGTCTTCAAATTCTATGGAGTAATTTCTGTGTTTCTTGCAACATGCAAACAAAAAAAGTGTGTGCATGATTTGCAGAGAGAAAGAGGTGAAGGTTAACTCTTTGTGGGGTAGAACTTAGGAGAGAGCTCTACAGAAATTGGATTTGGAGTTTGCATGGAAAGAGGAGGATTTAGATGCAATATAAATGGATGTTTTGAATGGATGTTAATACCTTGGAAGAGAAAATACAAGAGAGAAAAAGAAAAACAGGAAATACAAGAAGATATACGTGAGATGATGCCGTGAAAGTTTAGCAGATTAACACTTAAAGAGGATAGCTGGAATATATCTAAGGTCATAGGTTCAATCTCTAGTACCATAATTAGTAAGTGAATAATAAAATAGAAAAGAAAAATAGTTAAAAGAGTCAACATTCTCATCCTGGGAGGTCAGGGGAAAGAATGTCTAATATTTGTCCTTTGGATTAAATGATTGAAGAAAAGGTTGCTGACAGTGAAATTCTAGAAGCCCCTACCTATTTATGAATCAGGTACATAGTTTTACTGTGGATTCAAGTGAGGATAAATTGTGTAATAAAGTGGATAAAGAATGACTCAAAAGGAAGTATGTGAAGACAATATAATTTGTTGGGGGAAAAAAGTGGTGACCTGATAGAGGGGACATACAATTCAGATTTCTTTGTAAAGTGAGAAAATATGAGAATGTTTACATTAGAGAAGCAGAATCTCCTAAGGCTGTGCAGATTACAGGTTAGAGCATCCATCAAAGAGTAGGCAGATTTTATACCCATTTCCTAGAGAGGATGTCTGGGATTTGGGGCCAACTAAAGAGAAATGGCTTTGATCAGAATCTTGAACAGTTTTTAAAATTAGAAGAGAAGATAGTGAACATATTGAAAGATATCTTAAGTTGACATTTTCAATTGATGGTTTTCCTTTTTAGGTAAATCTATTTAAAGGACTGAAGAAAAGAGGAGTAAAGTCTGAATGTAGAACTTGTGTACTGGGAGAGGTTTAGTTGCTTGGAAAATAAAAGCTACCATCTACAAGGGAAAGAATATTGACAGAGTCAAACTACAGATTTTAAAAATTATGAATTTCACAGTGGTACAGATCTGAGATGTGAATTCTCTGTAGCAGAAATCAGCAAATGAAAAGACAAAACTTATTAACTGGTCCTTCTGTTCACATCTACACGTCAGGCCCTGTGGTAGTCAGTTTTATCGAGGTCATATCCAGAGAGAAACGAGAGAGTTGGGATTTTAAGGAATTAGCCAAAACTGCATAGGGAAAGAAAGTCTTGAAAAGATTAGTATATAGGAGAAATAAAGATTCAGGGGATTTAAAGAGGATGCTAACGTGGAAGACCAAGTGCCACCAAGGAAATGTATTACTTGAGATTTCACAGTTGCAGTAGCTCAGGTGATAGCCAGGTCCAGGGTTTGATCCTGGAATTGATCAACCATGAAAGTGAAGGCACTGGATGCTGAAAGAGACAAGGAACCATAAATTGCTGCATTTAAAAAAGAAATGTAGGCCAGGCACCGTTGGTTCACACCTGTAATCCTAGCTACTCAGGAAGCTGAGATCTGAGGATCGTAGTTCAAAGCTAGCCCTGGCAGGAAAGTTTGTGAGATTCTCACCTCCAATAAACCACCAGAAAACTGAAAGTGGCACTGTGGCTCAAGTGGTAGAGTACTAGCCTTGAGCTGAATAGCTGTGGGACAGCACCCCAGCCCAGAGTTTAAGCCCCACGACCGGCAAAAAGAAAATAAAAATCTGCCAGATGACCAATGCCTACAATGCTAGCTATTCAGGAAGCTGAGATCTGAGAATCTCAGTTCAAAGCCAGCCCAGGCAGAAAAGTCTGTGAGATTCTATCTTCAGTTAACCAGCCAAGTTCTCACTGCAAGAAAGCCAAGCAAGAGTACTAAATCCCTGATTTCAAACCTCAGGAAAGGCACCAAAATGAATAAATATTTGTTATAGCTGGGCACCAGTGGCAGGAGCCTGGGATTAAGAAGCTCGGGGTTCAAGGGCAACTTGGGCAAAAGGTTGTGAGATGCCATTTGAACTATAGCTGGGCACAGCGTTACATGCCTGTCAGCCCAGCAACTCAAGCTGCAGGATGAGAAGCAAATGAGGAGGATCACCATTTTAGACTAGCTAAGGTTCATAAGACTCATCACAACAAAAAAAGCTGGGCATAGTGGTGTGTCCCTGTCATCCCAGCGACAAGAAGCACAACAAAGGATTGTGGTCCAGGCCAGCTTAGTGAGATGAGACCCTCTCTGAAAATAATCAGAACAGAAACGGGCTGGAGGCATGCCCAGCAAGCATGAACGCCTGAGTTCAAAGCCCAGGACTACCAAAATTTAAAAGAAAGAAAAAAGAAAACGTTCAGTCATAGTGCTGTTTTATTGCTGCTGTGATTTCATGTGTATATCTGTGGGAGAGGGTGGGGAGCGTCATAAGGCTAGAGCCTAGGCACTGTCCCTCAGTTCTTTTGCTCAAGGTAGTATTCTACCACGTTGAGCCACATATCCACTTTCAGTATTCTGGAGGTTAGTTGGAGGTAAGAGTCTCACAGACTCTGGCTGGGCTGGCTTTGAACTGCAATCCTCACATCTCAGCCTCCTGAACAGCTAGGATTATAGTCATGAATCACCAGTGCCCAGCATAGTGCTAAGTTTTCATGTATTTCAGCTCCATTATCTTTCACCCAGATCTCTAAATATCCCTGTTAAAAAAATACCTAATAAAAAAGTATTCTGATGGATGCTGGTGACTCACACCTGTAATCCTTGCTACTTAGGAAACTGAGGTTTTAGGATTGTAGTTCAAAGCCAGCCCCAGCAGGAAAGTCCATGAGACTCTTTCTCTCCAATTAACCACCAAAAAGCAGGAAATGGAACTGTGGCTCAAATGATAGAACACTAGCCTTGAGCAAAAAAAACTCAGGGATAGAACCCAGGCCCCTGAGTTCAAGCCCCTGGACACACACACACACACACACACACAAAGTATTTTCTGTAGTGAGAAGCCATGTGTTATGTATGCACATAACAAGGTCCAAGTATGAATTTGTCACTGAAGAGTTTAATAATGATACTAATTACTTAGTTTTTCATGCACTTAGTTATAATACTAATAATGAAATGTATAATTTGCCCCTTAGATGCAGACATTTCCTTCATTTTTATAGATGAAAACTTGAAACTGTATTTAATATAACTTGCTCGGGATTACATAATGAATAGTTAAATTAGGATTGATGCCCAGATATCAATAGATGCAATACATGATGCATGCCATATAATAGAAATCATTACATCATTTAATCATGGGGATACACTTTGAGAAATATGTTATTAGACCGTATAGATCCATTACTTAGTGTAGCCTCTGCTATCAAGAAATAAATAAATGTGAATATGAGACAAACACGGCCGTGGCTGGTATCACACAGCATGCATAGTAGAAATCTTTGTCTAGGAGAGTCAGGAAAGGCAAAGACCAGGTAGGATTTTTAAAGTTAAATTGGAGGTCCCCGTTACAGAATGTGAGAAAGTGTTTTTGAGGCAGAAGAGCAGAGGCCTAAGTGGTACGGTGGGGTACAAGCGGGTCAGTATTCCTGGCAGGTAGGGTCCTAAAGTATTGTTGTCCAGACAGAGGCTGGACAGGTGGAGTGAGGCTGTGCCAGCTGCAGCTTAAATATGAAACGGAGGCTCAAGTGAGGACAGACCAGTCTTCTCCGAAGTCCCATGTGCTCCTGCTGTGTCTGCCATGCTGGTCCTCTGCCCCCTTTTTGAGTGTTGGCATGAAAGCAATACAGTGGAAAGATGTGGTTTTTTTAGTCAAGAAGCTCCCATTTTACCTTCTACTTGCTGTGTGACTTACTGTGTAATAGATGGGTAACAGAGAAGACCACTTCCCTTTCTTGCCAGGGTGCCAACTGGGCACTTCCTGCCCCCACCAGCAGCCCCAGTGAACACTGAAGCATGACAGCAGGCTGATCTGGACCCCATCTCTGGAGAAATGAACTCTACAAAGTTTCCCATTCTGTAAAGCCTGCATGAGCCTCCTTCCCACAACACCCTCCACAAACCTCTGCTATAGTGTCCAATGATGAGAAAAACCGAGGGAAGTGAAAGGGAAATTTAAGAAATGGGGGCAGTAGGGGGGGGGGGGAGGGGAGATGACTGATGGCCATCCTGTCCGCCAGGAAGATAGCTTGGGAGGTAAGGCCAGAAGTCCTTCAAGATGAAGAGATCCAAGAGAACCATGTGCTTAAGAAGCCTAGCTTCTCATTTAAGAGAGAGAGAAAAAAGATTTTAAAATAAAAAAAAAACAGAGAAGAAACGTATGAATTTAAAAAATAATAATAGAAGTTAAAGGCTTGATATGAACTAGGCTCTGGTGGCTCAAGCCTGTAATCATAGCTACTCAGGAGGCTAAGATCTGAGAATTGCAGTTCGAAGCCATCCCAGGCAAAAGAGTCCCCATGAGACTTCTATTTCCAATTAACCACCAGAAAACTGGAAATGGCGCTGTGGCTCAAAGTGGTAGGGCCATGAGCGAAAGAACTCAGGGACAGCACCCAGGCTGTGTCTAGTCTGTTCAATGACCGACAGGGAGGGAGGGGGAGGGGAAGTGACCTCAGTTGAAGAAAAATCCCTATCAGGAGCTGGATGTGCCTCAGTTTGATGTTTCAAGTCTCAGATCTATTTTTGGAGTTTCTTTGCCTGGTACAGTATAGAGAACAATGATGCAGATGTTCCCAGTCAGATGTCTTGCATGAAGGTGTAGTTTGCATGGAGAAG